AGACCTGCTGAGTTTCTCCAACATTTCTGTGCTTATTTTGGATTTCCAGCATCTACAGTATTTTGATTTCATTGTTTTTAGTAAAATTACTAAGTGCTGATCTTTGAACTGTGAGTTTACTGTGAAGGCTGGAAAGATAAAAAAAACACACACACACAAAAGTTGGTTGAGGGATAAACATTGGACCAAGATATTGCAAGGGAAACTCCCCTGAAATAAATGTCATGGACACTTGGTGTTCAAATGGCACCACTTGGTTTAATGTTTCACCTGAAAGACACACCTCTGACGGTGCAGCCCTGTTAATGCAATAAGTGGGCAAAATAAATGATCAAAGATCTTTAGGTGAGTTATCCAACCAGTAGACAAAAACCATGTGTTTTTAAATATATGTCCTTGTCTAGTTCAACTAAAGGGCAAAGTGTTCTTGATATTAATCTCTCTTTCCGCACTGTCATTGAAACCTTTCCAGGTTTCACACACTGTGTGGCATACATAGCATTACAACAGTGTAATATGCTTGATTAATCCTCGTAGATTGTCCTCAGTCATTTCACTGAGTGCCAGGATAATCTCTGCATCTCTTCTGGCTCTTCAAAACTCTTCAGTTGGTCTGAAGCAGTCAGTTATTTATAACACAAACTTTATCCAGTTAATAAATTAATAGGATTCGAATGAAAACACTGTTGAGGCAAGCTGCACTCCTGAGTGCGGGGTCAAGGCTATAAAGCAGACACCAAGTGTGACACTTGGAAACACATTGGGATTGTTACAGTTGGAATAAGTCGATGCAACATTATCCACCCGTGGAGTCAAAAAAGAACTAGTCAAGGTAATGATAAGTGTATTTACTGAAACTGCATGTTATTGTCTATACTGAATCTAACACTGTTCCAGTGCAGTTAAACCCAATCGCCTGTCTGTCTGTCTGTCTCTCTCTCTCTCTCTCTCTGTATAAGTATTAATTAAACCTGAACACCTCTGCCTGTCATCTTTCTCCTTTGCTCTGGTCGGTCCTACAAAAGAGCCAGGTCGTAGATCTGATCCTACGCCAAAGGAGGATAGAGATTGAGTCCTGGCTGTGCCCAAAGAAAGCTGGCATAAATTGAAATGGGCAATGGGCAAGATGCCTTTTTCATTTGCAAGGGCACCCCTTCCAAATGAAAGAATGGCCTTCCGCCTCTTCGCCTAGGGATTGTGCTCTGTGCATGCCGTTGGTAATACACCTGAACAAGATTCGTAATTTTTTCTTTTAATCTGACCTGTTCTTCCTTTCAAAGGAGCACTGACATCCTTCACATTTACAACAGTTTTCCAATTGATCTTTCGCATTTGGCATTCCCCACCCTCCAGCATCACCAAGTGCCCTGCATGTGCTGCTAACAGTCTTGCTCTTCAAATATTTGAGACATTTGCCCCTGTTTTCCATTTATCTGAGGCTGCATCTTGCTGTTGGAATACTTAGGGTATTTATACAAAAACTTCTCACTCCGCAAATACCAACTCGAGACAACATCCAGTTATGAAACTGATTAGGATGATTAGAGTAAACTCCATGGTATATGATGGCTGCAGTCTTAAAAGGACTTAAGGATAGTATCCATGAAAAGAAATCAATCAAAGTTCAGTCATGTGAACTTTAATGTTAGATTCGCCTCCAAGAAGTTTCCATCAGAGCTAACTTAACAAGAAAGGTCTGCAGAATTCTGTTCTGGAAAGTTGTACCTGGCATTATCAGTGCCCTCAGCAGGTGAAAGCAATTTTTGAAGTACCA